CGAGGGTCCGGCGATACAGGAAATACTTTTAAGAAAAGCCGGCGAATTCCGAATGCACAATGCAGGTGGGCAGTCGCGCTGACCGAGTTTCCACAGCTCAGGCGGGTGGGAGAAATTTCTGGCTGACAGGGGTCGCTCGAGTCCCGAAATGGCGGCGACCAGAGCTCTTTTTGGAAAGGTCTATATCCTGAAAGCGGTACGATTGATTCTTTCATGTCAATAAAAACTCAAAACGCAAAAAAAAAAAAGCGAATACAGTCGGAGGTCATCACATACCCTGTTTGGTTTTCCTTCTGCCTTCTCTGCGTTCTGAAATTATAAAATGCTAAACCAACGTCAACTTCTTCTATTCCTGGATAATCTCAGGTGTCATACATCGGAACGTGTCACAATGTGTCAAGCGGACGATGAGGGCTCAAAACATTTCCGGAAAGGTCTATTAGATTAGGGGGATCGGTGGCCGAGTGGGCTAGCGCATACCAGCTCGGAGTACGTGGAGCGAAAGCTCACGCTGCAGAACCCAGGGATTCTGGCTTCAATCCACGCTGTTCAATCCCCACCCCTGCCCGTTTCGATCTGGATGAGCATCGTACCGGCGTGTGTTCCTGTATCAATAATACGTGGTGCACGTTAAAGGCCCCAGGCTAGCAGTCGTTCTGCACTGGCTAAATTGCTTATCTACAACGGGTAACAATGTCGTCATGATCTGGCAGACTATACTCCAGCTGCATAAACAACTAACGACTAATTTGATATTTGTTTAGTCACTTTAAGAAACACGGCTCACGATTTTTACTTGGCGATTTGTTTTTCGGCGTTCTTACCGGCTAATGCCACAATCTCATAGGCTGTGGAGAGATAAGAGATGCGTATCAGGATTCGCTATTCCCTGCGATCGTACTCATAATCGATAACTTCTTCAAATAATTTTGTAATCATTTGATTACCTTTATTCGAAAATGATCGCGAGAGTAATCTCATTACCTTCGGAAGTACTCGTAAGCGTTACTATTTTCCCCACCCTTTCTAATGGCGCCATATGTTTTTTTACAAGTTTCCTATCGAGAAATCCTCGAACAAAGTCTCGGGCAGGAGAATGGTTTACCAAAATGCATGAATTGAGAAGATATGTACTTTATAGTTCGGTGACTACACTCCAAAAGACCCGTTCTGAAACCGACAGAAAGACCTTTCGGTTTGAAAATCTGACGTAATTGGAAGCGTAACGGTTACCTTTTCAAGTAACGGCCAATGCGGAGCCCAAGTTCGTCTGCTTCTTTTGCAGGGGTTGTGGTGACGTCAGAGCGACGCCGAGCTCTGATTGGCTCAATTGGGAGAATAGTGGGTGGCCCTCAACCAGGGTGTAAGATAGACAGGTGGGGAAACGGCCCATAGAAGCCTACTGCAGCGCCGTGACCGGATTGTGTACTCGTCTCCTTGCGGGTACCCCCGACTTGCGACAGATGGCGCTGCGGCGAGAGGAAAAAAATCGAAATCGGATTTGCGTGGAACTCTATGCGAGAGTGCGCAAAATAAATCGAGAGCACGACAGTCCTTCATTAAAAATCCACGAAAAACCATCTCCGTCAGTTTAGCCGGTCGCCACCGGTCGCCCACCCGGAGTGAGAGTTCGCAGTGCTCCACATAGATGGCGCCACAGAAAAAGAGAAAACCGAGGGGGACACAGTGAGGTCACTCATTTGGCTGTCGTTTCCCCACCTGTCTATCTTACACCCTGCCCTCAACGCAGCTAGCAATGAAGTCTACCCACTCTCCTTCCAATCAGAGTCAATCAAAGCCCATCAGAGATCAGCATTCTGACGTCACCACGACCTCTGCAAGAAAAGCAGACAAACTTGCGCTCCGCATTACCTTTTTTCTTGGTAATCGAGTAACCTAACTAAATAATTTTACGGAGAGTAAAACCAATTGTAATCGATCGCTTTGTTTTCGAGTAACGAGTGCAAGACTGATCTGCTGCAAGCGTAGCGACTCCATAAAAAGTGCGCGTGCATGCATTCTTGCGGAGCACGAAGAAATGCAGGCGGACACGCCGAGATGACAGCAATCTTGGTCGTCCATTTTATGCACGCTCAAACAAACACGCGAGAGTTCCAATACTAAAAGCTATGGGTGAAATTACTTTGTCATAAAAATATTCCGCTCATGGTCCGAGTGTGTTCTAGCTCAACCGGTAGACATTCTACACCTTTATTTTGGTTTTTGTACATATACGGCCCTGTGTAGAGAAATATCCGTGTATTACATTGAGCAGTCTCAAACTCGCAGATCTCGAGATTATCCTAAAGACATTCGTCACAATACGCTCACGTTAAAGAAACACGGAACACTTTTTTTTTCTTTAATTTATAAGCGTGCTTTTTGCTTTGATTAAAATGTACTGAAAAAAAGTATGTTTATTTACTGTGTAAATATCTTTGGAGAAACCAACGCTGGCAAACAGTTGTCACGAAAAATTTGGTATTTTATGCTGTCGCCTCGTGACTATTGAGCATATCCGACGAAGCTCTCAAATGCGTCTCCGGGTCAAATGGCGACTTCTCCGCGGCTCTTTCCTCTGTACGGAAGTGGTACATTGTGGAATGTAACATTATTATTATGTAGCCACTGCGAGCTTAGGAAAGGATTGCCTTACTTTGTTCGTGTTGCAAGTTCTTCCTTATCGGCTGATGGCCATGGCTGCGTGCGGTGTAACAAGATGCTCGGGATTGGATACGCTCTGGGCTCCTTGAGCTGCCAGTTAATATAGTCTATCCTAAGAACTGCAGCGGAGGTTCCGTTCACTTAAAGAGGCACTCTGCTCAGAGCTGAGTGCACCGAGACGCATCGAGCGTTATGCGGACTCTATATCTTTGTGGGCGCAAATCTTGAAAAGAATGATAGCATCACTACGTCACGAAGTGGCGCAGAGATGCCAACTCCCTCTCTCTTCCTGGGACCTTGGGGGTGCAGTCTCCGCTGCAGTTCATGTTGGAGGAAGTTATTGTTTTGTTCATATCAGTACCTAGGTCGGAAAAGTCTTCCCCAAAGACAGTCGTCATGACGACCCCAGGTTCTAAACTTGCACGCATGCATGGAACTTTCGTTCGCGAGCATACAGTTTGTCGCAACTTCTTCGAAGGTTAGTGGAACAGTGTTCTCGCGTGCCACGGTAAAAGCGGTACCATCGTGGTCGCGGCGAATGAAACAAATTCTGCCCAAGGTCGTGCCGCTGCCGAAGATTAAGGAATATATTTGCGGGTGCTTATCTGAATTTAACGACCACACATGCCCCCAGGTGGGGGAGCCAAGCATATGCTGCAGTGGAGCGAGAGGCTACCTTAAAATTTCGCAGCAAAGCAGAATTAAAATAAACACCAAACCGTACTTACTAAAAAAAATATTTCACGAGGAAGGCTTTACGTATTCAAATACAGTTATTTCTTGTTTTGGTGCGTACTTGAAACGCCTTACTTAGGCAGACGTAGCAATCGGGAGAGTTCCTTAGAGAATACTGTATGCCCCATAAAAAAGAAAAAAAAGAAAAGGGTTTTCTCTACCGCAGGAATCTGAGCTGTCATCTAATGCAGGTTTTCCCGCCTTACACCGATAACCTTTTCAAGATATATTAATATACAACGTTCTACCAATCAGCAGCACAACGATTTCTCAGATACGCATCAAAGAAGACCTGGAATGCCTCGTATTAATTACCATCAACACTACTTATATGACAATGTAGTGAGTTCGTTCCCTTCATATACCATAAAGGGTCGGCAGAAGTAAGCCTCCTTATATAAATTGATTGCACAATGGCGTTCGGGTAAATAATGACGTTTACTGGCGCCAAGCTAGCGCGTTGCATTCTGGCGAAGTATGTTAACTCTGCAGAGCGGATACTTCTTGCCTCATCTTGAAGTTGTCTTCACTGTGCTAATGGCCCAGGACAAAACGTGACAACTGCAAACTCACTTTGTTTTGGCTAGAGAAATCAAGAGTGCTCGATCTTGTAGCTTCTTCGTTCATACTTACGGTGCAAAACAACTATAGGTTACATATATCGTAAATACAGGCGTGTACTACTTTAACTAATATAAAAGTATATTTGGATGACTTAAAAATATTATTATGCCAAGATTACGCGTCATTTCTTTGGCTCAGAAACATGTGTGTTAGGCCACTACCCATATTTATTTCATCCAGATGATCTGATTATCTGATTCACACGGCCAGGCCGCGAGCAATAAAATAAAAACAAAGCTAAAAGCTGACGTAGAAGCTGCCCAGGCTGGGTCCCGCGTTTCTGAGGTTACCCGTGACCACAGCCCTGTATCTATGTGTAGGTTGTGCTTCCGTGTCGGTCTCCTGGTATTTAGCGAGCTGTCATGTGTTGTATTTTTATCATCGGAAATATGATTACATGCTTTACTTGAGAAGTGTTCTTTCTGGGCAAGCGATTCATAAGCCCTCTTCATCTAGATGGAAGTGTGAATATCCCTGGTCATCCGCCCCAACCCCTCAACCAGGAGGGGGCTGTGCACTGCGCGCAGACTAGCTCTACAAACCACAGGTTGACAAGTCAACGGTAAAGGCTGGTTCACGCACTTCAACCTATTTACGACCATGTGCTTTAAAACCTTTTGAAATGTATTACGGCCAGAGAACGCATTGGTGTCATCCATCGGGTAGCCGTGAAGTTTTCGTATATTTCTTCCTTTTTTTTTCGCGCAGCACTTTTTTTTCTTTTTGGCTTGAACATTTTTTTTTCAGAATGTCGTAAATGACCATTTTTTACAAATAACACGTACATTTTATGTCACGAATACCGCAGAACCTTTGCTCTAGTGAAATGCAGTTTCATGGTCGCCTCATAGATGATGCCAGCGTGTTCTGTCGACCTAAGAGATCACAAGAACTCTGTTCCTAACCAACGCAATTATGTGAACGGGCCTTTAAAATTGTTAACACTGAACTAAAATGAACACACTTCTCAACAAGGCGGGAAGAATCTTTCAACCAGTATGCATTCAATCTAGATACACACTCCCGGACATAGATGAAATGAGTCATACTTTCAGTGATGAATGCGGCACCGTCTATGGCCAGGTCTGGCAAGATGAGCCCATTTCTTTTGAAGAGTCACAGCGATGCGAGTGTATTTACAACACAAGGTGATCATCCGCTGCCCCACAGGGTCTATATCACACCAGGAGTACACTTCTCGAGACATTAATACGAGCGCGGTCGGTGATCATCAGCAAACATTGGAACCACCAATGCTGATAGATCTTGGACATTATTAAAATAGTGAGCAAGCTTCGCCGGCTATTTTTTCTTGACCCTTTCACACTCTGGAAACAGTTAATTTAAACACACCAGGACATCAATATAAATTATTGTGGTTATTGACGTAAGGTTCATTAGTAGATAGACGTTCGAACCAGAGACTATAGCTTCAGGATAACATAACAAGATAAAGTGTCCCATCGTCGCATGTTGCCACACGCTCAAGAAGCACGGTGCAGTTAATAACGCAACGACATCAGTGCACATGGTCGAAGTTGTCCCAATAAAGTCCACCCGTAGATGGCCATACCTGGGTCCATAGCTTTGGGATAAGATCGACAGGAAGGTGTCCAAGCGTTTCACCCTTTAGTCCCACACGCTCCAGCTAAAAATACACGTATGCACTTCAGATACAAACTACAGGACATCAATAACGAACGGTCGCAGCCCTAGGAGCAGCCCGACCACTGAATGCCATGACCAGAATCCACAACTTCAGGAGGAAGAATAGTTGACGGGGTAGGGATGAGCAAGAAGTGCAGGACACCCTTTGAACGGACAAACACTTATCAAACACGCACTTAATTGTTTTGATAGGGCCGACAATTAGCTGTTCACCCTTCTTGTAAGCAGATGGCAGTCCGTTGGAACCAGGGCCCTCGAACAGGAATAGTGGCCCTCATCACTGGATGCCATGGCCAGGATTAAGCACTCCAGAAGGAACGATGGTTGACGGGACAGGGATGAGCAAGAAGTGCAGGGCGTCCTTTGACCAGACAGAAACACACATCAGACACACATTTCAGTGGCTCCAATAGGACCAACCATTAGCTGTTCATTGTTCTTATCAGCATATGACAGTCTGTTTGAACCAAGGCCTTCGAACAGTAACAGTGGCCGGGATGAGCAAGAAGACGGTGCTGGTGGATGATGCGCGTCGTTAGACGTTGTCGTCCCTGAAGGGCAGGTGAGCGTACGAGCCGTTGCTGGGCCTCTTGCTCTGCGAGGTGGGGAAGCGGCTGTTGCCGATGCATGACGTGGTGGTGGTAGTGAAGCTGATGCAGCTGCCCCGCTGCAGCGCCGAAGGTTTGTGCGAGCCGTAGCGATAGCCGCCCGAGTGACGGCCGTGGTCGCCGCGGCGCAGGGCCCGCATCGTCTTCCAGCGCTCCAGGTGATGTCGCACCGAGTTGCGCACCTGGTGGGCGAATGAACGCATTGAGAAAATGACCAACTTGTAGGTCAATATATGAACACATGTTTTAGTTAATTAGTTGCGCTTCGAACGAATGAATGACTTATTGACCTGCTTTGAATTTTTTAAGTTACAGAAAGCACGAAGAAAGGCGGAGCTGGTAAGAACTCCGAGAGGAACTTCCTTGAAGTATCATGGTGGCAGCAACCGTTTCGCAAATTGCCATAGTTTTTTTTGTCTGTTAGCGAAGCGAGAAGTGCCGCACTCAAATTAAACTGAATGGGTGAAATAATAATAAAAAAAATCGTTGAATGATGCAGCTTATTTCGAAACAAATGTTTAAAAAAAATTGATAATTTGGTTGGGTAGTGGATAACTGTATCAGTGAATAAATCGGTATGCCTGATTGAGGCAATAATAACGAAGAACAAATTCTATAAAACAGGACGCGTAGTATGGCAATCCAATGGTTTCGTTAATGGCAAGGCAACTGTTTAGTTTCCCGATACCCTTAACGTTGGGCATTCCACAGGGCAAAGACACGTACCTCCCCGTTGAGGAAACAGTAGAGGACGGCAACGGTGAAACCCTGAAAAGAAAGAGGGACTGAGTGACTTATCTGTGCATCAGTTGAAAGACTGGACAACTCGTGCTCCGCCCTGAAGACAATGAGGAACGTGATCGAACCATTTTTGCTGGTCCAATTATCGCTCCGTCAAACACCTGAAAGAATAGGGGCTTTTAGCAAACCGTTACCGTGTTCCGCGTACCACACTACCGAAGCATTTGAAGCATGCTTTCAAGCGCGCGCCAATGTGGAACAGTGACCGCGGGGCGCGCGGTTATAAGCATGGTTCAGAGGTTTCAGTAGCGCGGTACGCGGAACAGGGTAAAGGTTTGCTGAAAGTCCCTAATAGCTTCTAAACAGCAGGACAACTCCCAATACCAGGATTGGTCTATGAGCGTGGCGAGCTTTGAACCGCTTCTTATCGCTTCGTAGATTGCGGCGTTAGACGGAAGCCGTAGAACGAATCACGAAGCAGTGCGGAGTGGAAGTTCGTCTGCTTTTTGCACAGGGGTTTCGATGATGGCAGTACGCCGAGCTCTTATTGGCTGATTGAAAAAAAAAACAAAAAAAACAAACAAACAAACAAACAAACATAGTGGGTAGATTTCAAGGCATCTAGTATTGAGGTCTACCCACTGTCCTTTCATCCAAAGCCAATCACAGCTCGGCGTCGTTCTGACGTCACAGCAACTCCTGCGCAAGAAGCAGACGAACTTGCTCTCCGCATAGGCATAAACATAATAAGCCACGCTTTGCGTTTCTTAGGTTGTCGGTGACTGTGGAGAACGGCACCTGCTAAAATTCTCCGAGATCGGTTTGGGGAACCCGTGCTGTCCCCTCGAAGGATATGTTCTGAAGCGCGCGCTGGATCAGTATCGAACCTTCGAAATCAATTTACCAGAACTTCATAACGTTGTGCAGCTGAGAAGAGTCTTCATGTGGTCAGTGTTCAGCACTGTGCATCAAACGTCAGCAGCGTACGATTCGTTATTGCGGTAGCAAACGTCGATTTCTCTCTTGGATAACGGTGCCACGGCGCGATGTTGGAGTTTCGCGGCAGTGTGCGGTGGCGAACAAACTAGGTCCGTCCTCGCTGGCGTCCATTCGTACTCTCCCACGTGTGGATGCGTTTGGGAGACGGACGAACCGCGGACATGACGTCACGTGACCAATCCGTCCGCGGACCAGTCCGTCGCGTGAATTGGCCATTAATACTCATTTCGCAGCACCGAACTCAAAACTTGAACTCGCAAAACTCCGAACTTGAAACACGATCATAAGTGTTGTATCAATGCGAGCTTAGTTTACTTTAAATTTCCCGCCTAAAAAAAATATAAAAATAAATAAATATATATATATATATATATATATATATATTTTTTTTTGCGATATCCGTGTTTATATTTATTCCATCCCTCATGGGACGGGTGCATTCGTTCCGAGAATAAGCTTTCCATTTTGCTTTCTTTCTGATACTTACATCAAGTCTTCCAGATTTTTTTTTTTATCTTATACTTTTATTCTGTGGCCGCGCATAAGAAAGAAAGGAGTATCCTTCCAGTATCGTTGTGGTGTGTGTGTGTGTGTGGGGGGGGGGGGGGGGGGGGGGGGCAGGGGGTGCGAGCACGTGCAATTTCTCTTGGTGTTCTTTTCAGTTCAAAAGTTTCGGGCCTATTTATACTGTATATTGATATAAAAAGAGAAAGTTCTATTACCGCGAACATCCGCGAGTTTTCCACTCGAACGAGAGAAGAAGTTGGGAGAAACTTTTGTGGACGAGACAACCAGAAAGCCAGGGTAGAAAAGCGACCCCAAGCCGCACCGGCTTCAATGGTTTCTTTTGGCACCAGCTGCCGCGAGACAGTTTCCTTTTTACGATTGCATGGCGCCACCGACGTTCCGGGATAGGCCTCAAAATTTGCTGATGGTGGTCGATAGACACCGGCAAAACGCCCCCGCGTTCCGTGGAATTGCTTTCGTCTAAGCAGGTGATGGACAAAAAGCAGCGCTTGTGGTAACGGCGTTGCAAAAAACCAACAACAACAACAACAAAAAAACAACAACAACAGATATCGGCGTTTTTCAAAAGCGGACTTTGGAAGCAAAATCATGCCGATAGAATCGGCGCCCGCGAAAACTTTGTTGTCTGCACTTGTCGCCTGGATTGCGGGATAGTGTGCACGCTCGAGTTTTGATTGTATCCACATTCTGAATGTAGTTCCCAACAAAACGGGAAAATGATTTAGTTTAGCTTATTTTATTTATGCATATTTACCTACATTGCTTCCTGGGCGTTATCTTTGGGGGCACTATTAGATGTATTAAAATAATTAGAAAAGAAAAATATTAGTTTTGTTCCGAAAGTTTAGTTCACTGATCTGAAAGTTTCAACTCAAATTATTTTTCAAAATATCTCGCTTCACAACTATTGTATATATAGACAAACTTGTTTCAAATTATCGCAACGAGAAGAGACGTAGGATGGCCACGGAAGACATGCAGCTTTATTGATTTCAGTATTGTGAAAAATATAGAAATCAAAAAGTCATTTTGCACTCGCCTCAATTTATTTTTGCTCTTCGCTTATTCTGAGACGAAAGTTACAGCCAAGCGTTCACGAATTCGTTAATAGTGCCGTGCCTATACGAACAGCGGTAATCTTTTCGTACTGCTAATGCTCACTTTATTTGTTTTTGTTCACTCGTTTTACTCTCTCACTCGTGCACATCTTTTCGTGGCATGAACCCATAATGTGAAACAGACTACAGGTGTCGCGCGGAGCAGCCGTTAAAAAACAAGAAAATCATGTTCAAGAGAAATGTACAAAAAGAGAGAAGAGATTACATAAATTGTGAAATGGAGCCAGCTGGGGTCGTAAACGTGACATAAATCCTCTTGAAAAACGTTAATTAAGAGATTATCCGCGATTGATGCGGCTTAAGTTGGCGCTCAAGAGCGAGGTCGTGAATATAATTTAGGTGCTGTCGCCTTTGTTCGGGACAATCTTATAACGGCGAAAGCCCTCGATAGCTATTTCTAAAAAAAGTCGGAATCGATCAAGGGGACGCGATGTCAGCTTCTCACGTCAATGTGGATGGGTCTTGCAACCGGTCTTCGTAAAAATATAAACCCTCGAGAAACCGCATACTGAGAGGATCCTGCTCGTATCGAACCCAGATTCACTGAAAACTGCAATCAATATTCTCTTTTTCAAATTGCTTAGCTAAACAAAGGGGCGATCAGTATCTAGCTCGGAATAGAACTTAAGTGGCAGATGCGGCACACATTTGGCCACTGAGACAGCGTGGCGATGGAAGCATGATGCATATTGCTTTTCTTACTTTTTTAACTGATTTAGTTAGGACCAATAATCGATGTCGAGAGCGCACTTCTATGTGTGCATTCTGTACTACTTGGTATATTCAAATAAACAAATGAAATATTGCTGAGGCTACTGCCAAACTCCTATGAATGTAGTATACGAGTGAATGGTTCAGGTGTGCTATACTTCGTTTCATATTCGGCCCGAGCGCGGCCGATGTTAGCCGAAGGACCAATCAAACAGCGTAAAAAGCGCAACGTCATGGCGTGCTCTTTGCGCTTGACTAGCCGGCGGAGGAGCATACAGTGCACAGAGAGACGGCGAATACCAGCTGGTCCTATCAACAACAGAGAGCACGCCATGACGTTTTGCCTCTTCCGCGGTTTGATTGGCCCTTCGGCTCATAACATCGGCCGCGCTCGGACCTAAGCTGAAACGAAGTATATAGTGTCTGGTAGGACGACTCTGTTACAAGTGGAATGTCTTCCATGTCCCCTCTTTAGTTTTTCGTAATGACGTTCATAGGTGTCACGTGGCGTGGTGAACTTCCCTGCTAAATTTGGCGATAAAGATTTCCCGCTGAAATGTAGCGGTCTGTGACGTTACATGTGTCCGTTACTACGCTACATTTGTTCTTTACGCTACATCTGCTTTGTTATTCTACATGTCGTCTGCCACGCTACGTCTCTTTCCAGAATCACCCCCAGAGCCGTGAAAACGTATTATATGTTCAAATAATAGATGTCTCAACGGTATCAGTGACACACGTAGGCGCCGAGGGCTTCGCACTTTTATGTACTTGAACATATAACAGCTGCGATTTTCATGCAACACGGAAGAGTCTACCTGGGTTGAAAAAAGCGTGATCTGCACGTAGGTGAAGATGACCTTGGCTGTCTTGTGCTGGGGCGTCCAGATGACCAGGATGTAGCTGACGCCGAGAAGCGGGATGAGTACGAGGAGGGCCTTCGCCGCTTTTCTGCAACGGAAGAGCGAGACAGAGACAAGACCACAACCCAATTAGAAGTTTCGGAGCCATGCCCTCATGTGTCATCAGGCATACTATCGTTATGTGAACATGCTGTGCTAGAAGTGTCGAGGCGCATGCGAACTGTTGCGACGTCTACACAATAAAACATTTTTTCTCGATACAAAAAAAGTAAAACAAAAAGCAGAGGGGTGGGCACCAGAGACAACCACAAGCGACACAGGCAAGCCAAGCCTGTAAAGACCGCACGAGAAGATGACAAGGTGTTACACAGTGAGGACAGACAAAACGTGAACATTTACCCTACCCCAAAGCCCAATATAACTTTTCGCTATTTGAATTATAGAACGAGAAATAAAAGTGGAAATGTAATGGAAACTTGAAATCCAGTATAAAAACTTGAGATCCAGATAGAATCCAATAAGATTTCGTGATACATAATCTAGATAGCGAAAAGAATTTTGAGCTTTGGGGTAGGGTAGGGTTTGTCCCACCAGGCGAGCATGCCATCGACTTGCTCGTGGGCATTACGACAATCCCCGAACAGGGATCCGAGACTACGCAAACCCAAGGAGACAAACGTCGCAAAGTTTAAAACTCTTGAGCGACGGTGTCTTGTCGCGTTTTCTTTCTCTCTTTTTTTTTTTCAATATAAACAATGTTATCGCGCGTATATGGAAAGACGACTTTGCAAAGCCGTCTTTGCCACCGAGGATGCGTGGTCGTTGGGCCATGATGCCATGGTACCTGGAACGCGTCTCCGACTTATATGTCCTGCAGGTGCTAAACTTGGTCCCTCGATTTCCGCCCGACGGCATCATAAAAGTTTCCCGCTGCTGCCTGCCGCGAGCGATCCTGGCGGTGGAAGAGTAGCGGAGTAGCGTGTACTTGTCACAAGTAGCGTGTACTTGTCAGCTTGACAAGTACACGCCTCAAGTTCAACTGGCAGGAGATGCTGCGACGACAGCGAAACATCGCACTCGCTCCTACTTCTTGCCAAAACTTTTACGACCAACTGCCAGGATTACGACATCCCACAGCATAACGTAGCGCAGCAGGACACGCCGGCTCCTGTGACATCGGAACCACTTTCGCCTACCCAGACGCAGACCCAGTGAAGCGGGCGTCGCCGAGTCTCCACAAAGGCCAATGCTGGGGAGAAGGACGCAATTAGAATCTAAAATGGCAATCCCCTGCCCCGCTGTAGTCACGATGAAGTGAAGCAAACGTTATAAGAGGAAACGAAAATCAAGGTCAGTTATGGCGGCGCCCATTCACAGCTGCTGCAAAGCGTCTATTGAATGCTGAGGAACTTTACCGTCAAAGACCACAGTGCTAGAGCACGCGTTCGTTGCTGTCCGCCACTCCCGGGCGTGTTACTAAGACCCCGAAGTGTTACCGAAGGTAGAAAGTTCGCGCTGAAGGCAGCGCTTCCGGAGTATACCTAGCTCGTGTCTGACTCACGCTGAAAGGAGAGAAGTGTGTGAACAAGGCCAACCAAGGCGGTTCAGGCATCGCTCGGCAGGGCCATGCACTCTCAGCTTTGTGAACATGTGCGAGAATAACGACGATTCCTCCACTGGCACTCATCGGCTTCCCACTACCCTAGACGTGTTGCGCCATCTCACGGCGTTTGCCGGAAATGCGAGCGAACCTTCGCCGCACTCGCTTCGTGGCGAGGAGGAGATGTTATGATCATCTTTCTCTTCTTCCGCCGTTGTTTGACTATAATAAAGCGCTACTCGATCGATCACACGGTTAATCGATTAACTGCCCAGCCTTACTTTCGACGCATAGGCCGTATGGGACGCTAAGTACACCAGTCGCAAACGCGTTCCAGGCATCGTTAAAACGTTAAAGATACCACGGCCGCCCGTCTGATTGGATGAACCGATTTAGAGGAATCGGTGTTCCAAGCGCACTGCGGCGCAATGTGTGCTCGGGGAATTTTAAGCGTGTACAAAAGAGGAGGATTCGACGTGAAACCGAGGAACTGGAGGTCTCATCGAGTCCGCCTCTTTCGTATACGCGGACTGAGACGCGACATGCCGGGTACGTCGGTATCACGCGCAGTGACTCAAGGTATAGAAAGAAAGACGCATTCATCTGCCCGCACTTACAAATTTGAGGACGCACGCTTCCGCCGACGCAGCAGCGCCATTGCCGACATTGAGCGGGCAATGTCGGAGTCGCTGCAACCGACGGAGGACTGCGTTCACTTTTGAAAAAGATTGTACGGAACTCAACTCTGCGGCCGCAATCTCTGTACCACAACAATGGCGGAGGCATGCACCGAAGCATCGGAAAAGAACAAAGGGATCTCTAAATCTAATTAAATTGCTGCACAATTTTTTTTTTTCGTTTTGATGTATTGGTTTGACGGCCAATATGGCTGGCTTTGTTTCGAGGCTTAAATTACATACGCGCAACGTCATTTGTGAGTATAAAAAAGTCCAGCAAACTTTGTTTTCTGCAGAGAATATGCCGCGTGCCAATCACTCCAATCGAGGAAACCTGTCGAACAAATGGTGAATCATAAAGAAAAAAACAAAAGGAAACAATGGTTTGTTTATGAAAAGCAGTCTGCGCACGGTCATCAAGTGAGACCCATCGCTTTTGATGATAAACAGGCGAGCTGGTTCAAGTTAAACATAGTTAAAACCAGAAACGACTGATATAGTGGGCCATGTCTGAAATGGGCGTGTTGTCGTACTGTTCCTTTAGATCCATCATCTCCGGTTCGAACTATGTATAACCCATCGCTTGTTAGTTGTACCCCCCCCCCCCCCCCCCCTTTCCTCCCTGCTCCCCCCCCCCCCCCCCCCCCCTTCCTAAATCCCCTTTTTGTTTTGCTCTTCCTAAAAAGAAAGAAAAAAAGAAGATTTGAAACCGCACAAACTGAGCAGGGACAATACGCATGCCGCTTAGCAAGCTCATTCGTACGTTGTCCATGCGTAGATGACGCTACCGAGACGACACGGTTTGTGTTTTTGGTTTCGTTTGCTTTGTGGGTTTCATGAACAACACCTGAAGATAAGGCTTGTGCATGACGTCATCGTAAGTGGAACCCCGACTCGCCCCAGCGGCAAACAAGCTCGGCAAGCAGCAGACACGTCTGTCTCGGCGTCGCCGCGTGCTATGACGATGCTGATGCAAGGTAGGCGGTGGATCCACTGGTGATGACGTTTTGGGGAAGGGGGGGGGGGAGGGGGTGAGGTGCAGGCCTTGTAGGTGGGATTGGTTCTATCCGTCGATCGCACTGACAAAGTCAGCATAAGCAGTTCGAGTAAATGAATGAACGATCGGTGATTCATTTGCCAATGCGGGGGTCACTGCAAGTCGCTCGAAAAAGATGTTTGTTGTTTTGTTGCTCTCAAACAACAACAACGACAACAGCAAGGAGCCAATCGGAGGTGAACTGGTCACTTACCGATACTGCTGAGATTCCACAGATGTGGCTGCGCGGAGCTTTGTGATGAGGACCCACATTATTTGGCTCAAGAAGAAAATGTTCGTCTGAAAAAGAAATAAAAAAAACAACAAAAAAACAGGGAGCGATTGAAGGTAATCACGTTGCGTTTCTTTAAAGTAAGGGTATAGGTTTTGGCAATGACATTGGTGTCATTCGTTACTTTCATCTTGAAGTTGTATACACACTCACTGTTGGGCATCATTACCAAATCAAGAGATATTCGTGAGCACGCAAAATTCACGATCGAATATAAGTCTGGACTGTGACAGCAGTCCAGACTTATACCGATCATGTATAAGTGACCGAGCATGTAGAAACAATGTTACAAACAATGAAACAAACGAGTTAGGCAACGTTTTACGAATTTTGCTTCGAGAGGGTATTGCCGGGAATCAAATTTTGCCGCTCAGTTTAGGGCACGTTGCATAAAAATGCGACGCAGTCGTTACATTTTTAGGTTCAAACGCTTTTTTTTTTTCGGGTTCGTCATTCGCCGCGTTTACTCCGCAGGCCTCGCTAATTATCTCAACGAGTGTTCCGCAAGAAGGCAGACAGGCGGCCATTGTTTTAGGGTGTAGAGCTTGTTTGACAGGTGGCTAGCAGGTCATGATTAGCAGGAGTATGGGGGGGCAAACAAAAGCAGTTACTCAAAGAACGAGATGTTTGTTTCGTTCCCCAATGAGATGAATCATTGAATGTAAGCAGTGAAAGGGATCATAAAAAGTCAAGAAACGTTTTTGTAAATTTCTTTTGATATATGTGACTTGTACGTCACACAATACACTTTAACCTCCCTCCAAAAAATAAAATTTCGATACTCATTTTGAGTTAGGAGCTGTTCCGAAATAGACGCCAGTTTTGAGACGTCAAACCCGGAAGAAGAGTATGAAACAAGCACATAGCAAGACTCAAAATGACGTAAATCTTGTACTAATTGCATTTTCTTCTGAAGTTTATTTTGCGACATATTCAGCTAAGAAGTATCGAACAAAGAGAGAGAGAGAGAGAGAGAGAGGAATAGACAAGAGGAGAAATGAACTTCACTTGTCGAGGAACCTCCTTCCTCCTTTCAAAAAAAAAAAAAAAAAAAAAAACTGTTTTTACAAAAGTTTTTTTTTTTTTGCGTGTAAAAAGCTTGTTTTAGCCATTGAGTAGCCTTTTGTGCAGGTCAGTACCAAAGGCGTACCAGGTCCATCTGAAACCCCCAAAGTTTGGAAATATAAAAATAACTAAAAAAGGAAAGTTTTCTTTTTTAACGTTTTTTGCATTTTTGTTTAGAAACGATTATCTGCAGCCCCAACAATTTAAGGACTTTAAAAAAAAGAAAGAAAAAGACGCAAAGTTAATTAGGTTAAGTAAAACTAAAAATAAAAAAGGGAGCAACAACGGTTTGAGCGAAGCTGGTTTTGAACCACCTAAAACCTGAGACAAAGATATACAGAAATCGGAAGAGACGACACAAAACCTTGTTTCTCCTTTGTTTTATGATGTCTATTTATCGCTATTTTATTTGACGTCTTTTGACTCCGGATAACATTTCTATGTTTTTATATCATCCTGCAGTTGGATTGCGTATGTTGTTCCTGGTTCCCGGTCCTTGAAAGAAAGTGCTGAAACTCGAAGCGTCGCTTTAATGCCCAAAAACAAGAAACCCGCAAAGAGGTTCTCACCAAGAGCACAAGGATGACCGGCACAATGAAGACGCAGTCGTAGATGTCTTTCAGCTGCCACACGCACCTGCGTGGGATAGGTTGGTACTCAAGATCGCTGGTCATCATAATCCAGACAATAGACCTTTCACTAAAGTACCCAAGCACCAGAGAATGCTCGGAACGTAGCTACACGCACTGCACGTGCTCTCATTTCCTATACAAAATATTCGAAGTAAATAACGAAATTAGAGCGCCCGTGGAACGCGCGTGCGAAGTGCCAATTATTTATGATGTTTGCTTTCGAAGAGTTACAGCGGCGGATGCCAGCACGTGCAGCGCGTGTACCTCCATTCCTGGCATTCCCTTTGATGCTTGGGAAACGTGGCAAAAAGGTCTGTTAGCCGTTCATGAGCACGCAAAATAAACAGGTCAAAATGGTGATTGGCAGACTAGGGACGATCAGACGGTATGCCTTTATGGTTTTTGTTAGTATCCGCGAACAAACTTTTAGTTCTGCTTAAATGCCTGCGTATTCAGTTTTTGGCGGGATTTGCGGTGCTAATCATTGCTATCTATGGCACGTGTCTAAAAAACGACGAAGTAAAAAAAGAAAGAAAAAGACAACGGCTTTACTGGGAAACGTGTCTTCGCAAAGACAATGCACGCCGTAGGGCATATTCATAGTCTCTGCGCTGATCTGTGTTTTTGAGTCATCAAAGCCTATTCGGGGCCTGGTTAAATATAGGGATTGGCACACCGCAGTGATTGGAACACAGCGCTGATTGGTGCACCGCGTGATCTGCGGTTGACTTAATCACAGAGTATGAAACGCAAGGCCTATTATGCCAGCGCTTCTTGGTTCGTGCTATATTCTTGAGTGTTAATTGTGATCGGCTAATAATACTATCTGATTGGACGGCGGCGCGACAGTAAAATGGCCAGGAAGCCTCGGGTTTCCTAATATCGCATAACTCAGAGTATGTCCTCGAGCAATGTACATACAGGAAGGGAGGGGACTGAGGTGCAGCATTTGCATACGCATTCAGTTGTACCGCGGTTAGCTGCGCGAAGTAACCTATTATTTAAGTTTCGGGCGACCAGGGACGATTGCGACCATAGAGATTGGCGGTGTTGAGTCGAGAAGATTACAATACAAACCGGTACAAACGAAAACCTTCTTATGGGAGAAAAAGAAAAAAGAAGCAAATTTGCTTTTTGAACAAAGAAATATATTGGAGATCATCTTTCATTGCTTCGTAGCGTTTCATATTTTAGTTTCTAATGAGGACGGCGAGTTTCGCTGAATTCTCAATTAAAACAAAGTGAACATCAAGCGTGAAAAGTAAGAAACGTGAGAATAAGCTACAACCCAAACCAGCGAGTCGGAATAAATGATCTTCTTTAAGCACGCATAAAACTTATTCGAAAATGAACATTTTACTTAATTAAACGCTGAGACACCCTAGCGGGGATAATTTATAGAATAGCATTATTAAACATTGAAATTCAGTGCATCCGAAATGCTTACGGGTATTGCGGAAGTCAGAAACAGAATTTCAGCTCGCAGAACGTGGAACCTTGTATACGAATGTTTGCAACATCCAGGAGCATAATCGTTTTACGCGCTACTTCACTACCAATGGCTCGTCGGTTATACGTTTGATAATATGAAAGTTCAACGTTTGCCGGATCTGTAATAAACATTAGGTTGTTTCTTGCGAAAGCTGTAATCCCTCTTGAGCTAGAAAACAAACGTATTCCTCTCGCGAAGGTTTTAATATTTTATTACCGCGGTAGAACGTATCTTCGACATACGAACTGTCTCTAAATACTTGACTTTCTCTGAGTTTCGCGAAGACTCCGGTATAGTTTGATTACTGCGATGTTTGCCCGTCTATCTGTCATTAGTTTAGGCGGTTCAAAAAGCACTTAGACACAGTCTGAGAAGCTCCTGCCTGCGTACTTCTCCGGAATGCACTCAGTGCATTAATCATTGGTCTATTTTTGGCCAGCATAGCCCCTGAAAATAGCTAGCGGTAAGTAATGCACCAAACGGGATACAAGCTATACATTTGATGCGACCTTAGCGCGTCGAACCTACCTAGCGCATCGAATACAGTTTAACCCCAATGTTTTCATGGATTCGCCTCGACCGAGAGCGAGACCTCGTGTCAAATGACGACAAGGTGTCGATCGCTTCCTGTTTACACGGCGTGACGAAAGTTGGGAGCTTAAGAACTTTGAAGCTCTTCCCAGCTCTTCGAAGTTGCGAAAATAGTCGTCACTGCTGCCATGTCTGTATAACTTTTTATTTATTTCTTTATTTAAAGCTGAAAACGGTTGCCGGCTTGGTAGGAGGTTAGCACCCATTTCCGGCATAACGCAGCTATACCGGGATTCCTCGCTGGAGTATTCGACTCAAATTGCTAGCGTTCACGCGGGGATTTCGATTCGACTTGAAAAATCTGAAACCAACTCCTTTTAATGGATCGGATTGAATTCGATTCGATGCACTTGGCCCTTAAAATCGAAGCGTTTACACGGGCCGATTTGTTACGCTAACTCAATCCGATGCGTGAGTGTAGCATTTATATAAACTCAGCCACATAGCAAAAACATGTCACAAAATCATCTCCCATTGAGACAGCATGCATCTACTGGAGCATGAAAGCGATCGTCTTTCGCATTGGTCAAACTAATTAGAGGAAAACTAACAATCGGTGTACAGGCTGCGCTGCGGTATGATGCAGTCTGAACTTCACGCACCACCTACACAAATCTCTGACGTCACGATACTGCGGTGGAGCTGCTGTCAGCCCTGCGCATGAGCAGTCGTTTCACATCTCGCGAATCTTGTTTTGGCGCATGCGCAGTGCCCACACCCGGTATGGGCAAACGCAGGCTTACAGAGTGTCGGTGTACACAGATGCTCGGAACACTATACTTGGTTTCAGCTTCGGTCCGAGCGCGGCCGATGTTATGAGCCGATGGGCCAATCGAACAGCGAAAGAGGCACAACGTCATGGCGTGCTTTGTGCAGTTGATAGGACCAGGCGGTATTCGCCGTCCCTCTGTGCGTGCTCCTCCGCCAGCCAGTCTTATCAAGCGCAGAGAGCACACCATGACGCTGCGCTTTTTGCGGTCTTTGTTTGGCCCTTCGGCTCATAACATCGGCCGCGCTCGGACCGAAGCTGAAACGAAGTATAGACATACCCGGAGTCTTGGGAGTGTGTCAAGCGTTCAGTGTGGTACGTGTGCGGAAAGTGGCATTGAAATCTGGCGGAGCTGCCGACACCGATCCCGCTTTTCGTAACTCGAGTTCCTTGCAGACGAAACCGATTGTTGCTGAAGAGTGCTTGCCCTAAATTGCCTTAGAACTTTTCGAAAAGCGATCCTTACGATTTTATGAATACGAATGATTTCATTCAGATGCTCCACGAGGTAATATCGAAATAATTTATATAAATGTGAGGAGATTCAAAGGTGAATATAAAATACAAAACGAGGAAACTGTTTAACAGCCCAGGACACCACAAAAACAAAAGAAGTGGGAGATTTTTTGTTTGTGTTTTCTTGAAGCAGCGCAGGGACAGAGTGCACAGAGATTCAAGGCTTTAGGTCGCACCTTCTTTATAATGTTTCGCTCGCTACACGTGGATGACTCGAGCTCTAGACCGGAAAAAAAGCTTGAGATCGATCTTTGTGTTGAACGTGCGCTCTACCGACGGTCTTTTTCTGTGTAATTACTTTAACAAAACCTGCGTTAAAAAAAAAAAAAAAAAAAACGCTGCCAACTTAGCGGTTGTAATAAATTGGTAATGTTGCCCTCGCTCCTCTTTGAAAAAACTAGCGCTCATACCACAAGTTCGACGGACCTTGCGCTGGATTCAATCATTCAGAAAAACCAATCTGCCCCAGCTGTCTCCGTGAACGTACCACTCCCAACACTGCACGCGCGTGGGATATACGTACTGGGAAGCCCAGCGCGCATTCTAGAGAGCCAAGATTTAAGCGAGGGAGCAACGTAAACCGTGGGGAGCGTTTGAAATTTCATGGCGGACGCCCCTCGCGCCGACTGGCCGCAGCTACGTATGCGCTGCGTTGTCAGGTGACGAGGAGAAAAGCAGGCTGAAAGGCTGAGACGCTTGCGGACGATCAACACTTTAGTCAACTCACTCTCAGGAAAAAAAGGTACAGTTATACGCCCGTTTGTCGCCTAGAATACACCCCGAAATTTCAGTTCGACGTACAGCGGACTGACATCAAGCCGACGGTAGCGACGAGCGATCGCGATATATATATATACAGGTTTTTTTCGTTTTACTGCAAACATTCAGTGTGTGTTTTTTTCTGTGGTTTTTGACACGTTCATTAGCTGCTTAATATATTACATTTCACCATTATGAAGCCCCTCGTAAAAGTTGGGACCGTGAGTTAGTAGTCACTGCGCTGTGCGTCGAAGTGAAGTTTTGGGGTGTATTATATAGGACAAGTCTCCTTTTTTATTTTTTTTTAAGGCGCTTTTTGCGGCTTGTATTGCAAAGCGGCCCATAGACCACGTGACCCCATTCGAGCTGCTGGAAACACTTTCCCATCCAGGCTTTGTAGTGCGTTCCACGCGTCGCAGCGCATGCAGCGGACTGGAGGACGCGTGTGCGGGTGCGGCGATAACTCACATTCCGTCGGACAGGTTCGGGTCGTTGTGGTTGGGGCTCAGGTATGCCTTGGTGACCGCCCAGATTGTCACCACGACGGCCGGAATGCCTGGACCAGAAGGAAGGGAACAAACGGCTCAGCTGAATAAAGGGCATCGCGCCCGAGTACAAAGTGGGACATACTGCAACACCCTTAATGTTCGCGAGCCCTTAAATTTCGCGAATGTTGCGAATTGAAAAATTTGCGAAATTTATGGGCACGCGAAAATTTCGGTTTTTAAGAGTTTCAATGCGGGCGTCTGGAATTCGGAAAATTTAGTGGCCGCAATTATGTCCTCTGTGACCAATTCGCGGACAATAGGGGCTGCGAACATAAAGAGTTTTACAGTATACGCTGACTGCTTAAAACGACGCTTTGCAGCTTGGTCAGGTTGTTCTCATTAAAAGGCTTTAGTGGTTCACCTTTTATCTTTTATCTTCAGACGCTAAAAAATGTCACGGAGGAACGACTTTGTCCAACCGAGAATCATTTGTAAATTTATAGTCGGAGAGGAAGCGCATGTAAGAATAACGTCACACAAACGACACAGTGCTTGCTGCAGCCATGATGACATCTTGCGGACAGGCCGCAAACACGTTCGGAATACGTTTGCTTCGTACATATGTCTGCTTCGCACATGTCTGTAGAGAGTGACCAGCATGAGAGGACCGTTATACAAGAAGGAAACATCCATCAGGCAGTGCCTGCCCTTTCGTATGATGTATTAACAGTGTGACCGCAGCTGTAAAGTCGGTGCGTTACCCTGGAAAAGGAGAACGTAGCTACTACTTAGATGATTCTTTGCAGCGAGGCCGGAAACTCACGAACTCATTAAACCCGGACGCTAAGTACGCAAAGAAAAAAAATATTCACGTCACAAGAGGCGAACGACAAGGAGAGCACCTGAAACTTTGATCGCGCTAACGATTGGGTTTGTGTCACACTTATTTGTGTCTCTTTGTTAGGCTAGGTTAGGTTAGGTTGCGAACGATCCAGAGATTAATCGATACCCCTGGACATGACAGGGACAAGGACTTTCGATTGCAAATGATTGGGACCAGCCCTGTGCTACCGTACAAACCGGCGCGGAAAATGAATGCCGGTCTTGCACGCGAACTGGAACGAAAGCACCAACCGGTGCATGATGTTATACGGATCCCTGATCCGTATAACATAATTAAGTATGATCACGCAGGGTTTGGGGACACCGGAACGGCCAGCGAACGCTTTGGTCGCGACGCACCCCATCCGATGAAGGCGTAGACGTGCATCCGGACCAGCTCGATGGAGAACGTCTTGACGACCAGGATGAAGAGGTAAAGGCCCTCGACGAACATCCAGAAGAAGTTGGTGCCCATCAAGTACGTGAGCACCACGTACATAAAGCAGGCGCTCTGCAAAAAACGCCGAGCAGAATGTTAATAGGGTGACGGTGCGGCTATATTAAGTTGGAATGTTTTTCGCTCTACACGAGCTCACGGCTCTAGTGGGGCCCAAGTGCTATACTCGCACGCAAGGGCATTGACCAAGAAACCTATTTGTTGCGGTGTAATTTCAAGAATGAAAGCGAGCGTTTTCTTTCAACCTCTCCTTCGCAAAACTTGATGACGTAGATCGAGGGTCGCAGTGTCAGCTTAGTCAACGTAACTATACATTGCCTCAGTTGTGGAACTCCCGCGAAGGGGTGTACCCCCTCACTCACTTCAGCTCGCCTCCCGTCTTAAAGCGCCCCCTAGATGTTCGTTTCGAAATAGTGTGTTCCATACATGCACTAGGGTGAAACGCCATCTAGACACTCTGCTTCGAAACATACGTATTCCATCGAATAGACTGTGTTACCATAGCAGCCGTCCCCCCAAAACGGTGGCGCGTCAAACAACTGGAGGCGAGTCATGGGGGGAGAGGGGGGTACTGCTGGAGCAACCAGTGTCTATGGGCAGTTCCGCAACTACAGACGTTGGGCATACTTTACCAGTGACGATATTTGAATGCGGCTCATAGATTGGAACCGAAAATTACGGGAGCACTCGATTTGTGCTCGTGATAATCGATAGCTCAACAAGCATTCGAGTAGTGGCCCGTGTCCAATCGCTGCAATGACGACAAGAGCCGGACCATAACAATGTCTGGAACTCAGCCCGTGTCCTGTGTTTTGCCGACCCCAGAGTGTGGCTCTGATCAACACTATAGCTACGTTTATATGAATGCGATCGTAGCGCATCGACTCGAACAGGGACCAATTGTACGCAGCCCGGTATGACTTAAATAACAAATGTATTCCATGTTATTTTCCGGCGGTAAGTCAGCTCAACGGCTGTGCACTCGGCGAGAAAGAGGTGGTTGATGCCTTTTAGAGCGCAGCTCTTAGGGGCCCGTTCCCGGCTTGAGCGGCGTCGCCGTCGGCGTCGGCGTCGCCGTCGGCGTCGGCGTCGGCGTCGGCGTCGGCGTCGGCGTAACCGCAACCCTCGTAACCCTCGTGAGGGTTACGAGGGTTACGAGGGTTAATCTCATGAGGGTTACCCTCACGAGGATCACGAGGGCCACGAGGGTTACTTACCCTCGTAACCCTCACGAGGGTTACGAGGGTTAGTTACCCTCAAAAGGGTTACCTTCACGAGGGTTACCCTCACGAGGGTTAGTAACCCTCGTAACCCTCGTGAGGGTTACGAGGGTTACGAGGGTTAGTAACCCTCGTGACCCTCGTGAGGGTTACTAACCCTCACGAGGGTTAGTAACCCTCGTGAGGGTAACCTTCACGAGGGCTACCCTCACGAGGGTCACGAGGGTTATGAGAGTTACCCTCACGAGGGTTACTTACCCTCGTAACCCTCACGAGGGTTACGAGGGTTAGTAACCCTCGTGAGGGTAACCTTCACGAGGGTTACCCTCACGAGGGTCACGAGGGTTATGAGAGTTACCCTTACGAGGGTCACGAGAGTTACCCTCACGAGGGTCACGAGAGTTACCCTCACGAGGGTCACGAGAGTTGCCCTCACGAGGGTCACGAGAGTTGCCCTCACAAGGGTTACTAGGGTTACCCTCACGAGGGTCACGATGGTTACCCAGGTCAAGTGACCCCCCCTGGGGTCACGTGACCTGGGGATACCCCCGAGGTCACGTGACCCCCCGTTGACGTCATAGCCACTGATGACGTCATCAGTGACGTCACTGATGATGTCACCGGCATCCGCATCGTCATCGTCATCATCACTGATGACGTCATTAGTGACGTCACCGGCATCCGCATCGTCATCATCATCACTGATGGCGTCATCAGTGACGCTACTGATGACGTCATCGGTATCGTCACGTGGCCCCAGGTCACGTGACCCCCGCGACGTCACGTGACGCCCCAAGGTCACGTGACCCCCAAGGTCACGTGACCCCCCGCCCCCGAGGTCACTTGACCCACCCCCCAGTACCCTTCCCTCCTCCTCCTCAAGAGCTGCGCTCTAATTCGGCGTTACAGGGAGTTGTAAACGGCTTTCATTTTTTTGTTACTGAGGTGCATGCACGAGACTGAGCATCTGCCTTCAGGTGAAAGCAGATTCCCAGGATTTGTCTTACAACATTTCTTAATGTCGAACAGGTTAGGACGAGAGAGTTAATGAGACTATCAATCAATCAATCAATCATTTTATTTGCGTCTGTACAGAAATACAGGCACTGGAGGCATGAACAAAAAGCCGACAGATGCCGACAGATGTCGACAGATGTCGACTCCACACTCCATCTGCCAAATTGCACTGTAGAAAAAGCGCGCTGTCTTGAGCTGTGCGGAAATTCGTGGGAATGGACAGAAGCCCGCGCGATTTCACTCATCGAGTAAACGTGGCTCAGAACACACAGTTCTTCGCTACTTCGCGTGTTCTAATTTACGGAGAAAAAAAAGCTACTTTACAGTTTTGTCAAAAAAAAATCACGATATTCTGAAAAAAAATCACGATATTCCTAATACTTCTCTCATTAAAAAGGAAGAAAAGACTTTGCAAGTCAACGCACACACATACAAAAGAAAAGAGGTGTCGTCTTACACTTTTTTGTTTCATATGATATGCACCCCTAAGCTTCGCCTCGACGTGCAGTGCACTGATGTCGAACAGAGAGCTTGAAACGTATACGAACGGTCTGATAACGCTTAGACATACCCAATTAAACATCTAAAGTACGTATCAAAGGCTACAAGATTCAAAGAAAAAAAAAAAACACTGAGGATTTGCAGCAGGGCCGAAAAAACCCCGATTACTATATTTTGTAGTCAGTAACACGTCCATTAGCTATTTTAATAAGTTGTGCCACTCGGCTATCAAAAGCGTGAAAGCTGGTACCGTCGATTCGACTTCAGCACGCTTTATGTGGAATTGAAGTTTCGGGGTGTGTATATAGGACAAATTGTGTTTTTTTTTTCTTTTTTCTGGCAGTGAAGGTTAGGTACCAGGCGTTAACCTTGGTACTGTAGCTCGTATAGATATTTGCTACTAGAGAGACACGTGAAGTTTCTCTGCAGGTCAAAATAATGTGCGTAACTTTAACCTTAACACTTTTATGTGACCGCACGGTTTACCATAGCACGCACTTGGTTGAATCTCTCGCAGCTCTATACCCTTTTACTGTTTACAAACACAAACCGTGTCTGGCTTCCCAATATACTTCCGGTCACTCCCGACTTCCGAACATGTTGATGTCAGATTTTCTGGGACGATGAAGCTTTTCAGAAATCACGAATTCGAGGGATTTGGCGAGGTACTTCCGTCGTTATATTGCCGCGCGCAGGGTCACGGACTTCTAGAACTTTCTTGTTTATTCTTGCTCCGTACATAACTTGTGTCGGTTATCCCTGCTTATGTTGTTCTAGAAAGTGCGTGTTCATTCCCGCCCCGAGCGCACTACGCTCGAACCTTCTCCGCCGAATCTTCGAGATAGTGACTCACTCTAGATAAGACGCCGCTCGCGACATTGTCGAGTCAGTCTAGCCCCAGCGTTCGACTCTGCTACCACGCCGACTTCGACGCCCGCGACGCTCTATTATTATCTTTTGTACCCTTTTATTTTTGGCACAAGTTCGCCACATTAAACGTTTATTTCTTCCTGTTTATTTGTTATTTTTGGTCACCACCCGTGACATTTTGGTGGAGGTGCGGGGTACCCGCATGCCCGTGCAGCGCTCCCCTCCGAGTTCCCGCAGTGCAAGTCCGGACCCAGCCTCCCGAGGACCGAGCGAAGACCAGATCGAGACCCGATCCAGTCGCCGCACCCAAGGTCTACCCCCGGAACACGGACTTCTGCCACCCCGGACCAGGCAGCCAACGAGGCCGACGATGGACAACCAGTCGTCGCAGAACCCGTCCGCCGCCGCCGTCGTATACCTTCCCGTCGCACCTCGGACTCCGACGCCTTTCCACGGGGAGATCCACGAAGACATCGAAGACTGGCTGCGACACTACGAACGTGTAGCCCGCCACAACAGGTGGACGACTGAGCAGTGCCTCCACAACCTTTACTTCTCGCTTGAAGGCACTGCGAGGCACTGGTTTGAAAACCACGAAGCCTCCTTCCCCACATGGGAGTCCTGCGTCGCCGAACTCAAACGAACATTCATTAACCACCATCGTCGCCAGCGAGCAGAGGACCTGCTTCAAACAAGGGTGCAGGGCCCCAATGAAAGCCTGACCAGCTTTGTAGAGGATGTTCTGCGTCTAAGTGCCCGAGCAGACCCGGAGGCCGCTGAGGAAAAGAAACTTCGAATCCTCATGCGAGGCGTCAAGGCAGAAATTTTTGGAGGCCTGGTTCGCAATCCCCCGACGACCGTCGATGCATTTGTGAGTGAAGCCACGAACATCGAGCGCGCACTGACGGCCCGAGCAAGCCACTACCACCGACTCGCCGGCGCGCCTACTTCTCCAACCGTCGCAGCTACACTTCCGGACCTGAGCACCACCGGTGTCGACAGCCTTCGGGATATCGTCCGGGATATCGCCCGGGAAGAGCTCCGGAAGATTCTACCTGCTGCAGATCGCCCAGCCTCACTCTCACTCGCCGACGTCGTCCGAGAGGAAGTTCACCGAGCTTTCCATCCCGAGGTTGCCGTCACCGCAGCAGCACAGCAGGAGCCAGCCGTAAGCTACGCCGAAATGCTCCGCCGAGTACCATCAGCACCGCGGCCGTACATGGCGCCTCCCGGACGTGTGCTTCCAGAGCCGCAGCATTCCCGACGCCAGGAAAATCGGGCACACGTTCGTCCAGAACAAGTTGCGCCAAGGAAGACCGACGTGTGGAGGACGGCTGATCGACGCCCGTTGTGCTACCACTGCGGGGAAGCCGACCATATCTACCGACGATGCCCCTACCGCCAGCTCGGCCTACGAGGGTTCGCGCCCAACGACCCTCGACCACG